TCCCATGTTTACTTGCTTTGATCCCATTATGCAGCAGCCAATACGTAACATCACCATTTGTATAAGTCTCTGAGAAGACTGAGCAAAGAGCCTGAGTATTTTACGATGTCCTGATCTTAGTGCTCAACATAGATGCACAATTTTCTGACACGTTTCTTATGAAAACAAAGAATGATAAAAAGATCTGGCTTTTTAGTGGCTTGTTTTTCTGACAGTAGGCTGACAGGAAAGGGGGTATGAGAGAGGGGCAGAGACACGCAGGAAAGGACCACAGGTCGGAATCGAACCCAGGTCGGCCGCGTCGAGGACTGAGACCACTGCACCACCCCAGTATACCTCAAAAAAAGTCATAACAAGTAGCATATATATTGGTCTGTCGGTTTCTTAATTTATGGGGACAAAAAGAAAACTAGTCAGGAAAAAGGATATTCCAGTCATGTGTGTCACAATAAATTGTTTACCTACTATAAAAGAGTTTCTCTTGTAATTTCTTAACTTTTAATAATAATATCTTAGTCAAGTCTGAGGGACGTATTTTAGCATTTATAATAGCAGTATTCAGATGCAGTCACATGAACAGCATAAGAGATCAATATCAGCCCGGAGCGGTGTTCAGTATGGGATCTAACCTACATAATAATCTGTAATCTTGAACATAAAATCCTGCAGACAGTCATTGAAGGGCCGACGACAAGCCCCTCATCAGCACAAAGCATGCAGAAACCACCACTTAAGAACAGAACAAAAAAGAAGGATTACAGCCATGAACTGTTACCATGCAATCAGAACAGCGTTACGCATGAGATGCGCTCCGTTTACTAAGAGGGTGAATGCACAGAGGACAACAAGATGAATGGTTTCCATGAGTGTCTATGATTATCAACTGACTTGCCAATGAATAAAACTGAGAACTGCAACTGAGCTGCAGGGAAAGGTAGCACGGAGAGGCTGCTGTAGGAAATAGACTAAGCCCTTATTGCATTTCAAAACTCAAGTTAGTTTCATGCTAATTATATTACACAAATCCTCTAAACAGCTTAACCAGACACTGGTGATTCCATTTAATAAGATGAAAAAACATACAAACAGTTCCTTATGAACAGTATCTTACATAACCAACGTAATCCAGTGTTCCCTGCAGATTCATCTGTACACAAGCATACAATTCAAGTCCTTCAGGATGAGCATGAAGTACAAAAACGCAGCAGTCATTGCCTTCTTTTTATGAAACTGGGATCCACAATCAGTATCCAATATTGCCAGTTTCTTTCCACTTTAAAATTACATGTTTTCTGAATTCCACAGCCTCACCTGCGACATAGTACAGCAATTAATTATTATTTCTTCACCAGTGTGTGCTTTTTACACAGGACAAGCCCAGGCCAGGGCCTGCTGAACAACATGTACAATGCCTTAAGGGGTGGTTACAGCAAATATCTGCATGACGTCACACACAGCTGAGGACAAAGCCCACTGCTTTCTCCCAGACAGAGAGAGAGGAAAAGAGAGAGACAGAGAGAAAGAGGTGGGGGGTGGGATCTTCATGCAAGGTGTGAACTTTGCTGCTAAAATGTGAATGTGCACACTGTGTTAATATGCATGTGAGATAAACTGGTGATACAGTTGCATAAATGTGAGGCAGCTGCATGATTCCCATATGCATGTGTGCTATGAGGGTGAGATTAAAGCATGTGTGCACTTCTCCTACACGTATCTGCAAAAAAGAGGCAGTGCAATGGAGATAAAACTTTTAATAATGCAATAAAAGGCTAATCAATAATAGATTTTGTAAACAATAATACAAGATATTGGTGCCTGCCTCAGTCCCCTTGTTCACTGCATGATGCAACACAGCTCCCAAGTGCAATCAAAGGGAACAACACACCCACTGATGTGCTATTCCACCTGCTCAGTTGCACTGTTTAGCCTGAGGTATTGTTTTACAGATACCTTGCATGGCTTGTTAATCTTTTTTTTTTTTTCCTTCCTTTAACTGTGTCTCTAGATGTGCAACCCATGCTTAGAATAAGAGGATCTGCATTAACACAATCATTTCCATGACAAACACACAGTCCTAGAGGGCGATCATGACATTTGGATTAGTGTTTTTAATGCAAACGAATAAAAAAAGTGCAGAGCAAACAGACAAAGCGGGGGAACGCCCCCTTTCTTAATACTGCAAACTACTCCCTAGATTATCAGATGTCTCTAGCTGGATTCCAGCCATTCCGTCACCTGATTCTTAAAAATAATCCCGAATGATAATCCGGGAGGGGATTTCATCCAAAATGACCGATATGACGAGTTTAAAAACCAAAAGCGATTGTCTTCATTTCCTGTAGACACTCCAATACAGCGCAGTTAAATGACAACCAGGAAAACAAATTAGAAGATGGTGGTGGTTACAAACCTGAATAAAGGTGGAGGCAGGGAAGCAAATTGAGTCAGACAGTGAGGACTGACGCATTCCTGTCGTCTCGGAGTTTGGCCTTTTTGTTTCCTCCGCCGTGCTGGCTGCAGCCGTTGCCACTTGGAAATGGAAGCCAGAAGTTAACCGTCTGAGCCGCGGAGGCGCAGGGTGGAGATACACGGACACTTCTTGAACCACGTCTTGTTTGACTTAGCAGGCTACATCCCTTCCTCTGTGTGCGTTTAATCTTGTTTGGAGTGTGTATTCGCAGCTGTTTTTCCTTGTTGCAACCTTAGCTTGAAATTCCTCCTGTCTCTTTAAACGGCATTTCCGGGATTCGCTGACATCTAAACGGAAGGCGGGGCTTAGTGGCCAGCTGGGCAATTTCCATTGATGCGATTGGCTGTTTGTAAGCCTCTTAACCAATCAACGTCCAGCCGTTATGTATTTTCAAAATATGCCAATTTATTCATAGATAGCGCATTGTGATAGGACTGTGGATTAGTTGAAGCTCCATCCACTACACGTGCTTTTCTCCCCTCCCAGTCTGCTATGGCCAACTGAAATAACTTGATATTTAATATTTAACCACAGGATTTGGGGAGAAAAAAGCTAAACGGCGTTACATGGTTGAAAAAGAAAAATGTTTTTCTTTTTTTTTGCAGCAACTCTAAAAGTAACAGTTTACTTTTATCACATTGATTGCTAATTTGTTCTGAATTAGTGTGAGCCATGTTTCAACAGAGCTAAGAATAGATCAGCTGCATCCCTACAGTGCTTTGCAGCTGCAGTCACTGCTTCCATGTTAGCACTGGGGCCTTTGTCATCTCCTGCCATGTTAATGAAACAGCAAAAGGCAGAATTGCCTGCAGGCCTCATATCTAACACTGCATTTTATGATAATAATTGATCTCACACTGAAGACATTTACCTCTGCATTTAACGCATCCCCTTGGGGAGTAATGGGCTGCCATTGTGCGGCGCCCGGGGAGCAGTGTTGGGTTAAATGTCTTTGCTCAGAGATTTAGAGTGGCAGTCTGTGGGAGTGGGGCTCGAACTCAGAACCTCAGGATAACAAGCTCTATGCCTTAACCACTAGAACACCTCTTCCCTCATTTTATTGCTCTAAATCAAGTTTTCAATTGTACCCTTAACCCATGGCAGATAAAGTAGACTATTTTATACATGCAACCATTCTAATATATATATATATATATGTATGGCTACTATAGAAGGTACACAAAACTAGTGCCAGGTTGGAACCTTTTTCTTCCATATTGACGTAATAGAATCATACTTTGTATTTTACCCTATTGGTGGGAGGTGTTCATCAAAACATGTTCTGAAAAAAAAAAAAAATACTCAAGGTATACAATCTATTGATTTCTTCATGGAGTTTGCATGTTCTCTCTGAGCATGTGTAGGTTCTCTTGGGTGCAAAAAAGTGCATTTTATGGTTGATTTGCATCTCTAAATTGATCCTAAGCGTGAGTGGATGGCGGACCTGTCCCTTCCTTTTGCCAAGACTGCTAGAGATACAGGCACCAGCACTGTGGCCCTGACAGGAGGACAAACCCCAGAAAATGGATTTATACCTAAGTCGCACGTCAGAACAGCAGATAAAGGGATAGATACTACTTTCAAGACTTGCATAACATTTTCTTTACTGACCTGAGGCTGGAGGTGTGAGACACTATTAAGAGCTACCTAGCATTACAGTTGGGAGGTCTTTTGATAAATTCAGATCCATAGATTAACAGGTGATGGCTAACCCTATGGGGTACGGAGAAAGTGGGAAAAAAGGTATGTGAAGAAAAAGTTATGAGTTTTTATGAACTAGCAATGAGATCCCAGATGAGAAGAGCATGTTTAGAAACAAGAAGTTAAGATACTAAGTAAATTTCTCAAACTCCATAGAAGTGGAACTACACTTGAAATATCAGTGTGCTAAAACGGATGTCAGTCTGTGTATATATATCCTATTCTTATAATATGAGCCCATCTTTGTTCCAATTTTCTATATTTAAAATGTGTTTTTTTAGTACTAAAATTATGATACAACATCCCATTCCACCTTGGTAAGTCAACTTTATAAGGCTTTACACCATATATTCTTAACAGGTAACTGGTGCACAACATATTGCATTTTTAAAATAAATCATTCATCAAAAGATGATCAATATTTCCTTTGCAACGCTGACATCTTTTTTTTTTTTTACAGTAACTTTTCTTTGTTGGCATGCGCCCCCTGCTGTTCATTAGAAAAGCTCCCTTGAAATAACCTTGCGATTAAAGTCTGGGACTTTAAAATTCCCAATTAAATTTTAAAGTGTAGAGCAACACAAAAGTCTTATAAAAAGCAAGACCAAGCTTCTGATTCAACATAATGTTTCAAAGCTTTTCATTATAATACAAATAACTGTATGACAGAAGGCTACATGTCCTCTTTAACTAAAGCCGGGGTGCTTTATTGGTCTCATCACTGCAAGAAGAACATTTTTTTTTTTTTTACAAGTCTTGAGAATAAAGAAATTTCAGCAGTAAAAAAACAGCATATATTTTTTTAACCTTATTTCTTTTGCATGGAATCAAGTTTTAAATATCAGAACTAGAATGATGTTCAGTTGTTTTTGTTTTCTTTGATCCGTTTGTGCCATGTTCCCGCTTCCTTTTTTGTTTATTCTTTTGCCCTTCTTCTTGTCTGAACTGGTGCCTGTTGGGGACAAAAACAGAGTATTTAGTCATTATAGAGTAAATTTTAAGAGATTAGAATCGGACTGGATTAAACAATGCAAAGTTGAGTGATTAAAGGACTCCTAAAATATTAACAAACACAATTCCGCATTTTTACCAGCGGCAGTGGGTAAATGTTAGAAAAGCAAATTAATGAATGCTGATTAGTCTAAGACAACTAATCAAGCTATCAAGCTTTAAAATCTGGATGCTTCAAAATCTGGATACTATATAAATAATTTTTGATTAATTACACCATCTTATTAAAAGAATAACGTGTGTTTGCTACATAAACAATAGGCTAATAGAGAAACTATAAAGTTCTGCAAGCATTGGATTTACAGCCTCCAAATGTTATATCAGAGCTAAATATATTCTTAGTAGAACGCTAAAGCTCCTCGTAAAACCCTAACATAAGGAAGAGCATCAACTATACAAGAAACGGTTACATATTTATCTAATCTAATGAGGTGGTTAAAGGTCTATTTTTAAAATGACAATAAAGCAGAACATCAAACATTATGGGTAAACTGTGAAAACAGCAGAATGAACCAATAAAACCACGACTTTGTGTATGATACATTATGATCTTATATCAAAGTAGGCAGAAATGAAAGAAAATATATTTTAAAGCAACAATTATTTCTTTTAGATAGAAATAAAAAAATTATTTCCAGACTATTGATGAGGAGCCGGGCAGGCTGTGTCTGCGTGTATGTCGATGGGGACAGCTGCCAATCGGACCTCAGGTCCTCCCATGCTTATAAAAACCATCGAGAGCAGAGTAGCATAGGAGAAAGATGGCGGAGAGGGCTCATTGGATCGAAAAGCTCACCTGAAGACGATCATTAATTAAAATGAGGTTTCCGTTGCTAACACAGATATAAAGTTTTTAAGTTCTTCACTAGACATGTGCCTCTGAAAGGTGGGAGGTGCAGCTTGGGTGGAGGTAGAAGGAGTCTTTTATGCATCCTGTTCAACAGCCCAGCTAGAGGGGGAACTTTAGATTGTTGCTCCTTTAAGAATAGTTTGTTCTTACCAGAATTAAAGTACTAATTAATTCTACCACACAAAGCTTAACATATTACTAAAAAAACACACACACTGCTGGAGCTCATTTATAAAAGGGGCACACTAAACATTTTTATCTATAAAACATCTCCAAAACAGCTCAAACTTGTCCAAGACCTCATAAAAAAAATATCTATTTTTGGACACAAATTGCTTTAGTTGTCTATTTTAACACTTTCATTTTGCCGAGGCCTATTTCTTTTTTTTTGGCAAAAGGAAGCATCCAACTTATTACATATAGTTATTGCAGCTTCTTGGTATGTTTTCTTCTTCTTTATTTCCCCCCATAAAGCATCAACATCCACCAGGAGCAGTAATACTTTCATCACAGTAGAACCTACCTGGACTGCCAGCGCCGGCCGCTGTTCCACACTCTCCCAAAAGAGGGAAGCCAGTTGGCGTCTGTATGAGAGCTGTGATCGAAGTTAGCTCCTACTCTGTTTGGAGGAAGCTTCCTTAGTTTCTCTTGCTCCTCTGGCAAAATAGATAATAAATCTGTTGTTACCAAGTAGTTTGGCAGGTCTAGAGTACGCAGTTATAATGTTCATATAAATGCAGACCTAAGGATTTTTATAAGACAATTTGGTTATGTCATCATAACCTTCTTAATGCAACTCCTAAAATATAAGCTTAATACTTTGTTTGAGGAAATCTTGGAGTGACGGTCCGATCTCGGTCTGTGTCGCTGCTCCAGACGTTCCCTCTAGTGGATCATCTTGGAGCCAAGGTGGAACAGCTCCTACAACAGAGAGTGTAATGGTGAGCAGCAGAAATGATAATAAACTGGACTCGATCATTTTAATTAATTATTCAAAAAAATTTTCGAGTCAAGACCCATGTCGGGTCAAGCCATGATTATTTTGTCACAGTCTCATTATCATCAGCGGAAAAACAAAAAAACAAAACAACTATCAGCAAAAGGTTTTCATCACCACAGACAAAATTAGAAAAACAAAATAGAAACTGCTTAAAATTTGAACATAGCGTATAATCTTTCCCAGTCAGCTGGAAAGCAACAACCTCTTCCGTTTTCTGCCTTACCTTCTGAATCCAGCAAGGGTCCACTTACTTTCCCCCTCTATAGTTTGTTAGACGGAGGTTTCTATTAATAAGCCCCACAAGGCAAAAAAATGTAGTCATCATGACCGTTTAAACATTTCCTTTAAAGCTACAGTGTGTAATTTTCAGCGACATCTAACGTCCAGACTGCAGACCGCAGCAACATGAACATCCCCCCCCACGCTTCTCCCCCCCAACAGTACGGCGAGCGTTATGGGACAAAATGTCTTCCACGACGTCGGCATCACCTACCTTCTCAAGTGATGAGGTTTGTTTACATAGATAATTTTACAGATAGTATTTCATTAGTCTGTGTTCTCAGTTCATCTCTCTCAACTTGCCGTAATTACTTTCGAGCGTAATGGGCGATCTCGCAATCGCTAGTTTGTTGGCTCTGCGCTGCCGTAGCGCAAAGATGTCTGCCTCCATGGCTGCGAGACCCGCTCCTATGTAATTATAAATAACGAATTCTAAGGCAACGCAAATATTAAGGTTAAGAGGCTGAGCTCGTAGATGATGATAAATAACATAGTTATGTAATATATTACATTTCTGACTGTATATCCCTGTAATTATTACACACTGTAGCTTTAACTTTTCTGAAATGTCATATCACAAAAACTCCAGCATTTAAACCAGACATCACTCATTTTAACAACTGCATCAGCCAGGGATTATAAACATAAACAGAACATTTTAGCTATTCAAGACAAAAAAAAGAATAGGAAAAACAAGAAAAACAGGCCTTAAGTGAATAAAACATCTGGTGATAAAAGTCAGACAAAACATTACGCAGGATTCAAACAGACATGTTTGTCTATCTTACACCCAAACTACATTAAGATGGAAGGTGTTTTTCCTTACTGTTGTGGCTGATCTTTTGGGAAACTATTGTTGCACTGGAGCGAAAATTATGTAAACAAAAATAATAATATTTCTTAACAGGTGGATAATGAGACAAAAGGCTAATTTATATACAGTAGCAGCCATTCTAACTCTAGCCGAATGGCAGCCCACTTCCCTTCAACTCCCAGCCAATGGAGTGACCCCTCCTTCTCCTGGGCGTGCATTTTTTTTTTACTCTCACTCCACCCTTTCACTGAATGACAGGGTCTGACCAGGGGATAATACTTCTCTTTCAATCTTAATGTCCACAAATCATGAAAGAAAGACTATTTTAATAAAGGATGATGTTTAAAAAGGAAGTGTAGGGGAGCAGCCAAGGACCCATCAAGGAAAGTGGGGAAATTTTGAATGGCTACTATTGTAGATAAAAAAAAAAAAATACCTCATGGAAATAATACAGGTATGAAACTAAAAGATATAGTTCATCTGAATTTTTTTAAGTTCTAGTTGTATTTTGAACATGTTACCTGTATGCACATTTCCACTACTTGATGAATCCTGAAACAGAGACAGAAAAAATAATAATCAATATGGCGCCACAATATTGAAAAAAAAGAACATATACACACATATATACTGTTTTTAGAAAGTTTAAAATTTGAGTTTACCTGATAACCTATGAACGTCAGGTTTTGTCCGTCAGGTTTTGTCCAGGGCGCATCGATCATACGGTCCAATCCGCTCCCCTTCTGCTGGTCTGATATTTGAGACTGAAACTGAGAACTGGTTCCCAGACACAACGATGAGCCCAAGACAGAAACACAACCCGTTACGAAAATAGTGACAACATGAAAAAGACTAAATCACCTTAAGATGACAGAGCGTTACCTGACAGAAGCCTCAACCGATGGATGGGAGCTGCTGGTTCCGTTTGAAAGCTCCTGCTCTTCATTAGGCTGACATTGATTCAGGAAAAGCCAACACGGGTTCACAGAGGATAGCTTACATCTAATCATACTTCAATGCAGTTCTTCTATCAGTCAATCTTTACAAAATCTTGGGCCTTGTTGCATAAACCTTTTTTCGAATACCTTCTCTAAAATCAAAAATGTACAACTGCCCCTTTAGAGACAAAGCATCAAAATATACAACCTAGAGGTACAAAAAAAACCTATGCTAAAGTTAAAAACTAGGCAAAAGAAGGTCGAATAACAAGAAATAGGAGGAAAAAAAACAAACACTTTTTTGTTGTGCAAAGTGACGTTCAGGTGTGACAGGAGGAACAGTGCCAAAGTTTCCTTTTGAGCAATAAGCATATTAGTGCTATAAACAATAATATTTTTCCTTTAAATTGCATATAAATAACCTTTATAATCAACTGATTTCATTTTTCAAACCATCAGCATACATAGCCAAGTTAATAAATTGATCCATTTAGTTACATTTTTTAAGTTATTATTGAAAACGTCCCTAAAAAGGGCAGTTTTTATTTTTAATTAATCAAATATTGGCTAAGATTATATACCAATTATTTCTAATTATTTTTTTTCCTGTCTTACAACCACTGACACTCATCCTTTCTCACTAAAGTTAGACTGCAACACTGTCCCACCTCTACACTGGAATTTCAAAGCAGCTTTTAAGACCCCAACTAGATTAATATTTGTGTAAATTAAACTTCAAAAAGGATCTCTGACTCAATGCTGTTTTCCTACAGGGAAGGGATATTTGGTCTTACACAAAAAAAAAAAACAACTGAGGCCACAGTGATGGATACTGCCATTGCATCCTCGGAAAACAAACCTCTAAAAGAGACTGAAAGACCTCCTGGCGGTTCTTTTCCTGAGCCCGGATAACATCAGCTTGCTGCAATAAAAGGATGACAAAACCACCGTTAGTATTCAGTGCAAATGTCTCACTCTTTATTACCCATCAATATAGTGCTGATTGAAACCACATCATCTGCTTACACAAAGGTTAACACATGATCTAAACTACTATAGACGGATTTTAAAAGAAACATTTAAGGAGGCTTTAGCTTTTGACCAAAACTAATAATATTAAAGCATCATCATAAGTGTACAGATGTAATTTTGTCAGTATTCAATTAATTATTGTTCATTTATTCTGAAGAATGATATTGCTGAGCACAATGGAGGCTATTACCTGTTTAATATACTCATCCTCCTTTTCAACAAAGGACTCCAAAACCTTAGCCACTTCAGCTTTAAACCTAGAAACAGCCAAACAACCACAGGATCTTATATAAAAACACGCAGTTCCTTCAAGTTAAATTGCTACTTGTGACGATTACCTTTCAGTTTCCTCCTCAGTGATGAGGACTCTGTATCTGAACTTAGGATCTGCTTTATTATCCCACCAGAACTTAAAGGTGTTGTTCTTGTGTTCTCGTCTGGAAAAAACATTTTAAAGATTTTTTTTAACCCACACTTTCTAACTAAGAACAAGAACCCCCTAAAGCTTGACTTACACATTTGAAAAACTAAAATTGAACACTTTAAATTTATACAGTTAAAAGGAAAAGAGTGTTATATGATCCTGATGAAATCATTAAATAAATGGTATGAGGCTTACGCGGCCATGTGTTCCAATAAGCCTCCATGCATCACCGTCATGTTGTCGTCTGTGACGTCCCTTTCAACTTCAACAGCACAGCAGTAGCACCAGAACTTCTGCTTGTGCTGAGTACAATCAAACTTCTCCACTTGGGGTTTTTTAAGGGTTCGTCGAGCTTCTTTGACCTGAGGGACGGCAAACGGAGCAACAAAGCAAATTAAGATTAGAATCTGAAAACAGGACATTTCTCCAACAATTTTTGTTTTAACTTAGGGAAAAATCTGTCGTTAAACTGGGCAGTGTTTCTTTTGTGTCAAAAAGGCTGCTGCATATTCCACGAGAGGAAAGAAGTTTGTTCCTGATCCCACAGCTGCAAGAATGAAATGACTGTTTTATTCTCACAACGACTTTGTGGAGATTTTTGCTGCTCATTCTCGATAAATCATCTGAGCAGAACTTTTATTCTTACAGGTTGTAGAACAATGGTTTGATTTGGATATCAAGCAGTTTTTGGGTCGGAAACTCCAGCCCTTTTGTCCAGGCGTACGAAATTCTGTACTATAAACCTTTACATAAAGGATACTTTTGAGGATCAGCTGAACAAGTCAGTGAGAAAAGAAAATTGGATTATACATCTTCTCTGCCATTGCGGTGGTGTTTTCTATGACACAAGTTGATAAGGATTTTCTATGTGCTCAGCACCTCAGTTTGTCATAAAGAGTGAAAACTATTTGTTCTTGTCATCTGGAGAAAGACAACATAAGTTTAAGTTCTTGATGCACATGCAACAAGTAATAAAGAAAATACACACCAATAAATCAATGATACGAAATTAAGTCCATTTGCATAACCTTAGGTATCATTTATTAGGTGCATGGATTAATGCAGTAGTTTAAATTAAATGTTTCACATATGAGCTAATTGAAATCATAAAAGGGTAAACTATGAGCAGTAGATTCCCTTTAGGATTTGGATAAAGAATGTAACTTGGTAAACTACTAATGAAAACACCAGCTTAGATCTTTAAAGCTACATTTGTAATTTATTTATACATTTTTTTGTTTAACATAATCTATCTTTCCATCACTGGTCTAATTAATTAAAATGTACTGTAGCATAAATCTTGGAGAGATAAAGTTTACCATTTGAAAACTCTTATTTTGAAAAGTTCAAATTGATCAGCTCTAGTTAAGTTAAAATTAATTCCAAACAATAGATATTATTTAACTAAAACAAATCACTTCCAATATAAGGAATCTATAAGGGTTTAACTCTTAAAAGAAAGCAACTTAATGCTGTTAAATATCCTCTCAGTCGCAAATAAAGCAGTGAATGTAGCTCTTTCACAAAATATACTGACAATGTTAATTTTATTAATGCCATGATACATTCAGGAAATAAATAACTCCCAAAAACAAATAATTTGGGAGTGAATAAGACCAAATAACATAAGCAGAGTCCCGCGATGAGCAGCTAATGCTGCTAGCTAATATGTTTTGGTGTTGCTAGCGCAGTATTCGGTGACGTAGAGAATGAAAAATACATAAAACATTGGAAATAGAGCCCCATTAACACAATTTGTACATATTTACCTTTTCAGTAAATTTAAGAAGAACGACTCTGAGTCTGCTTTGGTGATTTTTTCCGAAGATGTGTTTCTTCTTCCCGCAGAAAGCTGTCTGGTTACATATAGGGCAAAAATATGCACCCATTAAGACTCTGTAAAAATCTCAGTATATAGTAAACTTTAAAGTCACAAAAAAATGAACAAAAATAGTATAATTTAACATTGAAGCCGCCTGGCGTTGTTTCGCTTGACTTCTTCTTTCGCTGCTGGCGGTTAGCAAACAGGCGCTAAGTTATATGTACTGCCGCCTGCTGGGTTTTTTGGAGAACTACATTTTTCTAAAACTAATCCTGGTTAAAAGCTGTCAAATATAAAAGGTATACAGGAGTTTTTATGGTTTAACATACACGCATTTGAGAGGCCTTTTTTTTTTATTAAAGCCACAATCTTTACACTTTTCTAAGAAAATTAAGTAGGCTACTGTTTGGTGATTTTTCTTTTTATATTAGTTTTTATTCTTCCATTCCTTAGCTTCCAAAATACAGGTTTAATTCAGATAAATTAAATGATGAATTTCTTTGGAAGAGAGCAACATCAAAATAAATTTGAGTTTCCTTTAAGTATGAAGCTGCACTTTGAAAACATGTGTGCAGCTCTTCTTTTTATAAGCTTTTATTTAACTTTTTTTTTTTCTATTGTCCCACAGCAGGTGAAATATATCTTCAACTACTTAAAGTTGAAGGTCAGCAATAGGTGGTAGAAACCAGATCACTCAAGTGTTTACACTCCAGACTGATAAACAGGAAGTTAGAGGGATTTAGGTAAGGAAAAAAGTTACTGTATGTTGATTCTGAAGGTGGTAGAGGACTCCACAAACTGACGTATCATGTTATCTTTATTTTTGTAGTGAAATAGTAATCAAGGAGGGAAAAAATAACAGAAATTTCTAAAGAAAAAAGGGCCAAAAGCACCACAAGCAAATTGTCAAACTAATTAAATCTTTCAATGATTATTTGTATATAAATGTATAACAGACACCCATAGATAGATAGATAGATAGATAGATAGATAGATAGATAGATAGATAGATAGATAGATAGATAGATAGATAGATAGATAGATAGATAGATAGATAGATAGATAGATAGATAGATAGATAGATAGATAGATAGATAGATAGATAGATAGATAGATAGATAGATAGATAGATAGATAGATAGATAGATAGATAGATAGATAGATAGATAGATAGATAGATAGATAGATAGATAGATAGATAGATAGATAGATAGATAGATAGATAGATAGATAGATAGATAGATAGATAGATAGATAGATAGATAGATAGATAGTCAGTCAGTCAGTCAGACTGGGGGTTCTCAAGCAACTGTGATTAACTCCTAACAAAACACAAATTAATCTTTGAACAAATGAAAAATATTGTTAAAGCACACATATTGTTGCCTAAGTAATAGATTTTTAAAGAGACGTTAAATACACAAACACTTATAGTGAGTAGAAAGTTACACACGTATTGAAATCTGGTGTCATTAACATGGGAGATGTTTTTTTACAGAAATAAAAAAGGAAAGATTAAACAACATAAAAGAAATGCGACACAATAAAAAAAATGAAAGGAATATTTATATAATATAATACCATTGTCTTAACGCAGCACCTGAGTTGAAATATTTAATTTGTGGGGGAGCATGTCTCCCTCTGCCGGTCAAACATGTTACTGCCAAAATAAAACATGGGACTTCCTGGTACTTCCCTAAAAAATGTTCCTATGAAACTAACAGTAATGCTTTCTTAGGTACCTACTGGACATTTAATACGAGTTAGTAGGGTTTGAAACAGTAATTTACTGTGACCTTTGTACCAGCAGAGAACCAGGCTGAAATGATGTCGTTGCCTGTATTTGGTGATGAAAGGTTGATAATTAGTCAGTTTGTGACACGGAACTCAATGTTGACAGCTCTCCTCTGCTTCCTTTCAGCAGTTCCTCCTGCCTCTGGCTCTTTCACTTTCACTTCTAACAAACTGCAGCAGACGTCGAAGCGGTGAGGAGAACGAGTTTTACATTTCTTAAACGAATACATTAAATATCCACAACCAAGTTTGTAGGATCATAGAAATATGACTTTGTACAAAATATTGAGTTCTTCTAACTGTTCTGGGTCCACATGGAGTTTTTGCTCAGATCGAAACTAATTTTACCCACTCTGCCATTATGAATTGATGTATTTATGTTGTCAAACCGTTTAACTGTTATTTTATTATTATTTTAGTTAATATTTTTGAGTCTGATTTAAATCCTGCTTGGTTATTCTGTTTAATAATAATTCCAGGTGAGAGGATTTCCTGCTCTCCCAGCCACTATGTTTGCTGTCCTGCTGCTGCTCTTTGTTCTCAATCATCACACATCTGGAGCTCAGATTCCCAATCAAGGCCAAGCCAAAGACCCCCCTGTGGCCACCAATGGTCAGCCCTTCCCTTGGGACCGTATGAGACTTCCCACAACCATCAGCCCCCTGCACTATGACCTAACCATCCACCCAAACCTCACCACCCTGGACTTCACCGGGGTGGTTCGTATCAGTCTGGATGTGCGAGAAGACACCAGCGTTATTATTCTCCATGCAAAGCAAATGCTCATCTCCAACGTAATGCTCCTGGCCCCTGAGGGCATCAGGCCCCTCCGGGTGTTGGAGTACCCTCGTTTCCATCAGCTCGCTCTGCTGTCAGACTCAGTTTTGACCAAGGGCAGAAACTATGAGGTCCAGCTGGAGTTTGCTGCTAATTTATCAGACAGCTTTCATGGGTTCTACAAAGGTAGCTACCGCACCAGCAGTGGGGAGGTCCGGTAAGGCCAACCATGATCACCTTCAGCCTAAGTTAAATGGGTTAAAATCCTGGAATTGGAGATTTAAAAGGCTGTATATCATCTACCCCATCCAGGGTCATAGCATCTACCCAGTTCGAGGCAACCTTTGCCCGCGGAGCCTTTCCTTGTTTTGACGAGCCAGCCTTCAAAGCCAACTTCACCATACGGATCTTACGAGAGCCACAACACATAGCCATTTCCAACATGCCCAAGGTGTGTATGATCATATACAAGAGTCACCATGTGATGAGTCCATTTGTATTCACCCCTCTTACTCCGATTCCCTTAAATGGAATAGAATTCAACTTCTTTGTCATTACACTGTCACAAGTACAAAGCAACGAAATACAGTTTCAGAGGTGCTATACAGGATATAAATATTTATTTACATGTGCACAGAGACTATGTATTGCCTAGAATAGAATAGAATAGAATAGAATAGAATAGAATAGAATAGAATAGAATAGAATAGAATAGAATAGAATAGAATAGAATAGAAAATCCCTTTATTGGGGAAATTCTGGTGTTTAGAGGAGCAAAAAGTTTATAGAAAAACATGGTCACAAAAATATGGACCTTAGAAAAAGGAATAAGAATAACATAATAGTGAAGAGTTAAAAGATAAACTACAAAATGCTGTACTATAAAGTGTTTTAAACATTATAAAAATATGGACCTGGAGAATAAATAGCTATATAATATACAGCTATGGACATTTTTACAGTAATGGATATTTGAAAATAGCAGCAACATCAGAGATGTGCAAAATGACAGCAGCATGATATTTAACTGACTAAGATAGAAACTTAGAAAGAAATCAGCATGAATGTAACAACTTATTGAGGTTGTTGGGAACAGTGATGGTTATAGAGTCTTACAGCTGCTGGGAGGACGGATCTGTGATAACGCTCTCTGATGCATTTAGGGTGCAGCAGTCTGTCCCTGAAGGAGCTCTCCAGTTCTGAAACAGCTTCATGCATGGTGTGGGAGACATTATCCAACAGAAATGTTAATTTAGTTAGGATCTTTTTTTGTTTCCCACCTCCTGCACTGAGTCCAGACAGCTCCATAGAAGATGGCTGATGCCACAACAGAGTCATAGAAGGTCTATATGAACAGAGAGTAATTGTAAGAGGCTATAAAATACATAAATATGAAAAACTATATACAGATTATACAGAAAAGTTAGGATATGGATTATATATGCATAAATCCTTTCATGCACATTTTAGATTCCTCTATATAGATTTAAGCATGCTTATATTGCTGTTTTGTTTTCTTATAATTTGTTGTTTGACTGAAAAAAAATCAAACACTATATTTTGGAGAAGTGAGAAGCATTACCATTACCCCTTAAAAGATTGGATAGATTGACAAAAATGACCAACATAAAATGGGATTCGATGCACACTGGTTTAGTAAGACTTTTCTTCCACTTCACAGTTACCTGCTTCCTTATCACATAAATCCAGAGAAACCGCATGGTGGTTCTTTTTTGTAACGGGACAAACTGTAGCGATACGCACTTTCTCGGTTCGCAGGTTAAAACAGTTGAGCTGCCAGGCGGTTTGCTTGAAGACCACTTTGACACAACCGTCAAAATGAGCACCTACCTGGTGGCCTACATCGTCTCTGACTTCCTGTCTGTGAGCAAAACAACTAAACACGGAGTAAAGGTGAGCATTCACATCTCCTGATGTCCCATGCTTAATTTCAGTGTTATTGCACTTATCCACAGCTTATTTGTTTAACCTTGATTGCCTTCAGATCTCTGTCTATGCTGTCCCAGAGAAGATTGATCAGACGGCCTTTGCTTTGGATGCTGCCGTGAAGTTGTTGGACTTCTATGATGATTACTTCGATATCCCATACCCACTTCCCAAGCAGGGTCAGTGGAAACGCATCACACATGATTATCTACTCTCTCTTTTAAGTGAGAATGATTCTGAATGATCGGGTTCACGCTACGAGGAAGCATCACTATAAAAGCTGATTCAGACATGAAACATTCATTGGTCAGACGTTGTAGAGGAGCTGCTCCATGTTTTACTCCTGCTCTATGATGCTTCCTGCAGACCTGGCCGCCATCCCTGATTTCCAGTCAGGTGCAATGGAGAACTGGGGTCTGACCACCTACAGGGAGACTGGCCTCCTCTTCGATCCTGAAAGATCCTCCGCCTCAGACAAACTGGGCATCACTAAGGTCATCGCCCATGAGCTCGCACATCAGGTTGGCTTTGTGGAAAAGCAGGCGGATATCGATTCACGTTTGTCTTTAATGCTCTCTATGAGGTCACAAGTTGTTTTTATCTTTTCCACTTCCTGTTCAGTGGTTTGGGAACCTGGTGACGATGGAGTGGTGGAATGACCTGTGGCTCAACGAGGGGTTTGCCAAGTTCATG